TTTCTGATCAGCACTGAGCACATGAAGAATATCGAAGACCATACGAAAGGTTTCCACTACGGTAATGCCAGGAATACTGAGATTATTGCCTGTGTTCTAAAAGCGACAAGCGAACACAATGGATTTTAATTCGAATACCTACTCACATGATTTGAGGCTTTTGGAAATGTAGTCAAACAGTGATCAGTTGATAATATGACCCACAACCAACTGGGGGTCTAGGTATGCACCAATTCCTAATGACTTTTCAAAACTCACTTTCATCTGCATAAGATTGCGAGCAGTAGGAAGGACCTTGAAAATGCATGGGAAGTCAATGATGTAAATCTGCACAAAATCCGCAAAAGCTTTCCACTACGAAGCATCCCCACATCAAAGAATCGACAGGTGAAATTGAGCACGTCATTAAGGACTGTTGGACTGGGATCCCTTCTGTACAAAAACCCTTTGAATGTTTTTTCACAACAGGATGAATCCCTAATTGTTCCTTTTCTCATTCAGCATGCTTATTTTTGACAAACGCTTTTTTGTGAATCACCAAATAATCAGAGCCAGCGTTTTGCCTAACTACTTGATGGAAACTCGTCCAATCATTGAAAAGTTAAAGAGACGATGATTTTAGAGACCTTCCTTTCGTCAAGCCACTATGTGAATTGAGAAAAATGATCAATTTTTCAAATCTGAAAATGACTTTGAAGAGCTTTTTAGATACGTTGACAAAAGAAGAGGTGAACCTTATCATTTCTACTCCTCTGGTTTAATTCTAGATGTTTTTTCTGGGAAATCAACATTGGTGGCCTTACGGATGCAGTTTTGCAAACTTAAAACGAAAATCATTCTGATTTGTGTTAGCAAGAACGGCTAGGCAAGCAGTATTTTATACTCTTTATTGGGAGGGTCGGCTACTTGAATCTCTTATAATAAGGTCTATGTTCCTCATCAAAGGGAAACCAAAGCCGTTTCAAAAGTACCAGTCTAGAACTCTTCCTCGCTTTTGGTCGTTATTGCCTCTTTAAAATTGTGAAATGAATAAGCAAAACATGAACAAGATATGAAGGAATTTGAATCTTCCGAGTCCATTCAGAGAGACCAATTCATGAGGAATGACGAGGTCCACTGCAAAGCAAAACACCAAGTGAAATTTGCATTTAGCAGCAACCAGTTCAAATTTCTGAATCAAGTTATTTTTTGTTTTTTGTGTTGTTGTGTTTGAAATGTTCAAATTCTTTTCGTAGAAAAGGTGTCAGCTTCGTTACAATCTCCGTATCACATGAACATTGATAAGAGGGTCCCTAGATATGGTAAACGCATGGTTGCATTGTGAGGGATAAAATCAGCATGACTCTTACAAATGCAAGATACCAGAAACAGACCATTGCACATCAGTAAATTAATTAATGAGTCAATTTTAACAGAAAATGAAACAAACTAAAGAAAGTTATGGGAAGCAAAACTATTGTTGAGTTTGGTGTCATGGCATTACTTCTCTCGACCTCAGAACATTAAATATCGAGGGTAACCGGCAATGACATTGCAAATACGAAGAGAGTTCACTTGCTAAGCTCCGAAAGATCGCAAAGGGCAGCGAGTATTTTGTATAAAGCAAGGGCACCGATTACATCAGTGTATAATAAAATGGTGAGTAGTCCACCGTAGACTACATTTGTGGAATACTAAAGCAAAGTTCAGTAAATATTATAATTTTGAGGTACTCGTTTTTATTCGAAAAGCGGAAGTACAGATCGGGAAGAGTTCATTGGCAGTGAAGAAAAAGAGAAATCACCGATTTCGAGAAAAATCACTGGCACCTCAAAAGTAGATAAAATGAAGGTTGGACGAGATTCCCATGATGGAAATGACATGGAAGGGGTATTCGAACAAGACTGCAGTTATTTCAATTGCACAGAGAGCTGACTAAATCAAGCCAGAACTGTACAGCACTGTCTTTCATTGTCGCTGTGGGGCATGTCATGTTGCTTGAACTTCCTACATGGGTCCCCTTGTGAACGGTGCAGCCTTGACAATGCCGTTGAAACTCCACGCATTCACACGGGCCAATCTTTGAGCCTTTATAGCCCCTAACTAGCCGTTTTCCGACCTAATAGTGCCAGATATGGTATAGGCGGGGGCCTCAAATTCATTCTGTTAGAGAATCTCAGAAGCCATTTTTATCGTGAAGTGTGCCTTTAGGATCTAGCAACACCCTACCATCCTAGAGGATTTACTATCACAACTTGTATTGAAATCAGTTAAATCCGGTGGGTTGACTAAATAACAAGGGTCCATTATGCTTATATCCAACCATGCCCCGATCGGAATAGCCGAAAGCATTAGTCTCTACAGAGGTAAGCTGTTACACATCTTGCATGTTTACCATTGAACGAATGCTGACAATGAAGCAATTTAGTGTAATATCGAAAAATCGAAGCCTCTCTACATGTTTTCCGAAAAACCTTAGGTATACATATAGATTTCAATCACTTTTTATGTCTCTTCGCCCGTTTGGGTCTACGCACAACCCGTCATCATGCACTGGGATATTCGCCTTTCTCTTTCCAGAGAAAGGGAGGGAGGCGTAAAGCAGTCAGCAACACTTTTCTTTGGAAGTTCCACCTGTTAGTTTCGCTACTTTCTATCGCTCTGACCTATGTCCCCGAATCTACTACTTCAAAGGGCCAAAGGGCTTTCTTTACCCAGAGAAAGCCGATACTCAACCATCCAACTCGAGTATCCGCTGAATTTTTGTTTGTGATGCTATGAAATCATAGGTCTTTCCATTTAGCACCTCAATCACCCCGTATAAGCCGTAATCCCTACCTCGTAATCCATTACCGTGAGGGCACCATTAAGGTGCTACCCTTCCAGACTCAATCAACTTTCTTGTGTGCCAATAATTCACAATCAGTTTGAAGAACGTTATGAATCCAGTAGCTCACACCTTCTGATCTCTTGATCAGCACTACTAATTGGTTATCAGCTTCTGGCACCGACCACTAATGTCCCACTCGCTCCTAATATTCTTTCATATTTGAACGCTTTAGGCTATGAGCTCAAGAAATTGAGAATTCCCTCCTAACCATACATACACTCAACGGACCAACAGACACATTCAGAAGGTCACAAAAGAAGTTATTTCGAGGGCCCACATCATGTGATCAGTAGAACCGCACGGTTCAAGGAGTTACTCCTGCTTCGTTGTACATGGCACTCACCTACTGTGATCACTGCTTTGCGTACACACCACATATACTTGTGGAATTAACCTGATTATAAATTATAATTTAATAAAGCTTTTATAACACTTATTTCACTATATTTATTTATTTATTGTTTAGGAGGTTATGGATTTATGTAAAACTTCAGCGTACATAAAGAGATTGGTGGGCAGGAGATCATACGAATGAACTGAGTTCTCTTCTGCGCCGTTGAGACCGCGAAACCGGCTTGGCTATATGTGTCGCTTGAAGCAATATACAGTAAGGCAAGAATTTCAAACTGAACTGAACAACTAGCAACTTTTTCACGTGTAAGACATACCGAAGAGGTTGGGGGGAGAGGGAGGGAGGGGGGGGGGGGGGGGGGGGGGGGGGGGGGATGGATGAGATGGCCTCGTTTCTATGATAACAGAAACAAAACAACTTATGTTACATTCGTCAAAATAAAGTACTGGTTTCTAAGGCGAACACGAGAATTGTGTGTCTTCATTGCCCTCATAGGAGCACTCTCTCGGTATTGCACCTGAACTTAACGAAAAACTGTTGTTTGCTGTTTTGCGAACCTACGCAGCCCAATGTGCTTCTCCTGTTCATGAGAAGAAACATCGAAAATTTACGGGTTTGTTTATTGTGAGCTACTGTTGTTATCTGTGAAAGAGTATTCCAGTGAGGAGCCAAGTATTCCAGAGCGTCAGTTGCTTGGAAGTGTGTCGAAGCTCACAGAAAACACGCCTTACGTTCGTAAAAACGCATATCGACTCTCCGAACAACAGCGTACTGCAGCAAGTGGATATCACAATCGGTTTTTGCAAAGTACTGGCAATCACACATTCCAAAGTATTATCAAAATTCATAGAGGCATTGGTCACCATGAAAACAGCGTCTGGTCTTAGGGCGTGCAACTCTCTAAGAGATGCCGGAGCACAGAGAGTCAACCAAACACAACAGAAGCTGACCCACTTCATCTAACCGTGGTGATTGTTCTCAAATCCCGTGGGAAATCTAAAAGCCGTTAAAGGTACAGTTCACGTTGATTTCGAGGAACCCGTTTTTTTTTTCGAAAAATGGAAGTATAGATTGGGAATAGTTCATCGCTAGGAAAGAAAGCGAGAGAATCTGCCGATTTCGAGGAACGAGATTCCATGATGGAAATAACATGAAAGGGGTATTCGGACGAGATTTCAGTTATTGCAATTGCGCAAAGAACTGACTACATCAAACTGGAACTGTACAAAACTGTCTTTCACTGTCGCAATGGGTTATGACAAGTTGTTTGAACTTCCTACGTGGGCTCCCTGGTGATCGGTGCAGCCTCTACAATGCCGGTAAAACTGGTACGAGGATGCACACGGCCAATCTTTGAGCCTTTACAACTTCCTAACTAGGCCGCTTTCCGACATAATAGGGCCAGGTATGGTATACGCGGGGGCTTCAAATTTATCCTGTAGTGGAATCTCAAGAACCATTTTCAACGTGAACTGTGCCTTTAAAAACGTACCATAAGCTGCGGTGTGTTACAACTCTGTATCTTTTTCTGAGGTCTTTAAAACGTAAGTAATGCATTTGCTTCTATGAGACCCAGGATACAGGATGCACAGGATATTTCCCAGAGTTTACATTGGGAAGCTTCTGTTACACAAAGTGGATTTGATCAGTGACAACAAACACTCCTCAGTGAAGGATAATTCCCTCTGGTTTGATCATAACCACAGTTCTCAAATGGGAGAACCTTGCAATTGAGGTCATCTTACGAGTCTGCACAAAAGGCTTTACACACTCACCTAATTAGTGTTCGTCTTTTCCACCCGCTGCCATAGCTGAAGTGGCAACCATGTATAGAAGTCCCATAAGAACGGTGAGAATCATAAGATTCACTATGAGAATAATGGTGTTCTTGTCGAAATGCTGCTCTGCGACTTCAACAATCGACTGCTTTCGGGAGCTGGGCGTTGCTCTGCAATTACGCTATTATTTCAGGGCTGTTCACCTAAATAATTGGACATCAACATATTTCTGACAATTAAGTGATTTTCAAAGAAGTGCAAATAGGCAAACTGGAACTTCCAAACGCATTCATCCTGAAGTACATGAAGCCGGTAGACTGAAATGATAAGGAATCTTCGGGAGTACTGTATGTTGTTTGTGGGCCATGCTCACCGTTACTTTGGTACAGATTTCCACTGGCGTAACAGCACCTCGGATCCTCCCTTGGTGGATGGGAGTTGCGATTGCGAGCATGAAAGGGGACACTTCTTCAGGCCCCGACAAGATCTCAGCCGACGTTATACGAGAGATTTTTGATTATTTTATCGGACTTCTGGTACATAGAGCAAGGAAAAGGGAAAAGGCAGAAGTAGAGCCTGACCCTATTAAGTACTCTGAAAATTTTTCGGAGCTTTCGTTGCCATATTCGTCATCCAAAATGCGTTGATCACCCGCCTCTGCACTCTTTTTGAGGACCAAAAAAGGAAAGTGGTCCATGAAGAAGATTCCGAAAAACGTTACGAGTTCTCTGGTAAGGACTGTTTGTATCGGAACAATATCGGATTACAATTACATCTGCAATACACCCAATGAAAGCCAGTGTAAATGCTGCTGTACATCCGAAGTTGTGCAGGATAGCAGAGAAGAATAAAAAAAAAAGAAAAATCAGATATTAAGAACCTTTGATTAACACTGACGGATTTACTACCCCACCGAACCAAAGGAAAAAATGTAACAAATGCGCATCCTACCTCATCTTTGAAAACGTGTCGAAGAATAGACTTGTGAAAGGCGCTCAGAGCAGAACCAACAGGTTTATGGAGGATCCAAAACCTCAAAAAGAAGTAATTATCACCAATTATAGGAGAGACTACGATGAAATGGGACTACCGTCCCTAAGAGCAGCTCTCCCTTTACGGCACCTATTCGCGTTCACCCTTTGAACCTTAGCATCAACACAGAGCACTTCAAAAACGGCGTAAGGACTTCAGAAGATTAAGGGGCATTCATATAAGCATATAAATCTTTAGCAAGAGGTTGCTGAAGATGAGAGTTGCAGCTCAGGGTGATTACTATGACCATCAAGTCATTCT